CCTCTACGCTGCTCTTGTGAGGCCTCACTTGAAGTATTCAGTACGGTTCTGGTGTCCTCAACATAAAAAGGACATGGAGCTGCTGGAGCAAGTCCAGAGGAGGGCCACAAGGATGTTAAGAGGACTGGAGCACCTCCCGTATGAAGACAGGCTGAGAAAGTTGGGGCTGTTCAGCCTGGAGAAGAGAAGGCTGCGGGGGGACCTCATACCCGCCTTCCAGTATCTGAAGGTGGCCTACAAGGATGCTGGGGAGGGATTCTTCGTTAGGGACTCTAGTGGTAGGACAAGGGCTAATGGCTTTAAACAGGGGAAGTTTAGGTTAGATCTAAGGAAGAAGTTCTTCACAGTGAGGGTGGTGAGGCACTGGAATGGGTTGCCCAAGGAAGTTGTGAATGCTCCAACCCTGGAGGTGTTCAAGGCCAGGCTGGACAGAGCCTTGGGCGACATAGTTTAGTGTGTGGTGTCCCTGCTCATGGCAGGGGGGTTGGAACTAGATGATCTTAAGGTCCTTTCCAACCCAAAGCTACAGAGCTTGTGTAGAGATGTTAAATGTATTTTAAATACCAATTCCATACTAATACTTTAATTTATGCTGATTTAATACTAATGTTTTTATTATTCTTTCATTTACCAGATTCATGGGAAGCTCTGTGTATTTTGTTTGCTCTGTGAAGCTTATCTCAGGTGGTTGCAACTACAGGATTCAAGCCAAAATACAGATCCTGATGACTTAATCAGATATGCCAAGGAATGGGATTTTTATAGAATGTTTGGAATAGCTTCTTTAGGTAAGGTCAGTGATTAGTTTATATCACTAGCTACTCCTCAAGCATTGAATTAACATCATGAGTTTTTCAACAAGCCTGTACTGCAAAAAATAACACAGAATAGATGTTATGTCCAACCTAGTATGGTTAAACCATTATATACATACTCTCTAATTTGTCTCCATTTAATGCAGATGCATATTTTGATCCTGATTACAGTTCAGGTAAGATCAACATTAAATATTAAAACACTGAAAAGTGGCAATCTTCAGAAATCTTTGCCTCAATCCATTTACATAGTTTGAAGACCAATGTAGAGCACAGCTTTATTCCATATTTCATGTTGACTTCAAGGTTTATTCATTAAGGTGATGCAACAATAGGATTATCCTTACAGAAGTAAATAATTGGGAAAAGCTGTATCTGTTGTTTGGGGTTTTCTAAATGAATACACAAAAGTACAGAGTAGAATAAATACTTACATGCTTTAAGACTACATTGAAGGCAGGGGAGGCTTTTATTTTGGTTAATACTTTAATAATTTTTCTGTTAATAGTGTTTAAATCAAGGCCACAGACTAAAATTAAACATTCAGAGTTTAACTTAAGTCATTTATCATCTAATGTTGCTCTAAGTAGGTTTTCATAACACATCAGTAAAAATGTTGAATCTCATTTCTCAATAGTAATTCATCTATTACAGTTGTCATGAGAGTTGCTTTGACATCTGCATTAATTCTAGCGTTACACAGGGACACAGCGTCAAAAAGAAATCTAATAGCTCAGTGATATTTTCATCTTAGTTTTCTTTTGCTGGATGGAAAGAGTTCATTGCTGGTGACCTTTTCAAAGACGACAAGTACCGATTATGTTTTATGGGCCAACAGACAGTTGGAAAAAGACCCCTCTCCTTTTTTTGAAAAGGAAAAATAAATGTAAACTTCCTGTGCTGTATGGTGTCAGAAATTGAGTACGACAGTCCTATTCTGAATGTCATTATACAGAATTAGTTTAAGTAAGTAAAAGTAGTATTCCCCTGTTAAAGTGAACACAGGAGATGGGAGATGTTCGTATTTGCGTATGTCTTTCAAATAGCAGTGGCTAAGTTGCATTTGGGACACATCATTTCACTGAAATTCATCCAAAAAAGAACTTGATTTTGGCACTTCATTCTCTCTTTCCAACTCCTCTTATTTCCTCTTAGAACAAACTTCATTTTTGGTTGGCATTTTTATTACCTTATGGTGGATGAGACCTCAGATGCTGAAAACGAAGTCTGACTGCATTTTACTTCTCAAAGCACTGCTGTTGTCCAGCTATGGAAAGCTTTTGCTAATTCCAGCTGTTATCTGGGAACATGACTACACACCTTTGTGCCTTGCATTTATAAAAGTGTTTGTCTTGATATCAAACTCTCAGGCAATTAGAGGTATGTTTTTGCTTTTTTTATTCGTACATTATTTATGTAGAATGTGTGAGAATATGCAGCTGTTAATGAAATAATTACTATTGTTATATTTTTAATCAGTATCAGAAATGTGACTGAAATAGCTCTAGCTTAAAACTGTTTTTTAGACTTTAATAGAAAGGGAATGAAAAAAAATACTTTTAAGAAAAATCACCTCATCTCACCATCATCTCTTTTTATATGCTGTAGTATATCCTTCAGATCCACCAGTTAGAATTTGAAACAACTCATCATGGATCATTGAAACATAAAATAGAATTTGTTGTATGTCTGGTAAATGAAAAATTCATGTTAATTTCATGTTAATTTTATGCATGGCTTTGGAATGCAGACTTTAACATATTTGTGTAATTTCTTACACATACAAATTAATATCAAATCTCACACGGCTTCCATGATCATCTTCAATGGTAAGTGATAAATTTGTTCTGGTTTCTTTTGCAGTTACACTGAACTTGAACCGAATTCTTCCTTGGTTGGCTATCTTCTTTGGATTAATTCTGGAAAATGGTGTTGTCTGCTTGGTCCAGAAATTGAGATGGGATGTTTGAAACATCAGCCCAGATCTGAAGAAATACCAACAACATGATAATCATTTTCCAAGAATGATCTCTGCCAGCAGGCTTTAAAGACACTATTTCCATCATGACAAAGAAGGTGATAAATACCAAAAACTTGCATTAGTGGTAAGTGTAGACAGTTTTAGGATGAGTTAAACTGAGAAACCTCAAAGTTTGGCTGTATAATGTGGTGAGCCATAAAACTTCATAGAATCACAGAATGGTTAGAGTTGGAAGGACCTTAAGATCATCTAGTTCCAACCCCCCTGCCATGGGCAGGGACAC